AATAATTGAAAATAAACCTTGTTGATCAATTTTGGTACTCACTGTATATCGAAGTTAGCATTTGATTCTAGAAATGTCTAGATATTCAAAGAAAACACGTAGAGGGTTGCGAGTATATGTTAATCATTGTAAAAATTTCAATTTCGAAATGTGTTTCAAGTACTGGCTGTTCTCGATATTCTTCTATAAATTTCCCTTAGAATTTTCTTGAGTCCGCTACGATAAGTCGCTGATGTTAAAACATATACATAAAAGCTTCCACTTTGATAAGAACGATAGAAGAGAAATGCAATTGATTGGATTAAGGATTCGATTGCTGTTGTCTCAGTTGCTTGTCGTCTATTCAATACTATTGTAGAATATAATTTAACTCCGAACAATGTTAGAGTTGATATTAAAAACCATACAATTTGCATGAGTAACATACGGCTTAATTCATGATTTATACGTTGCGCTGCTGTTTTTTGTGCTGTTGCAGTACATTTTCTAAGATTTCGACGAGTTAGAAAACCGAAGATTGATAGAATAGAAACTGGAAAAATTGCTAATAAAACTGGAGCCACAAAATAGGTGAAATATTTATCATAACCTATTGAAATATAGCCGCAATGTCCTTGTTTAATGCCTACATAGAAAAAATCAGGTATCGGAAATGAAAATGAGACAATAAGAGCAATTAAAATTGAGATTTTAGTAACTTTTAGTGAACTCCAGTTTCGTCGACGTACATCACGACTTGTCGAACAATAGCGATCAACAGTTGCAAAACATAGCATCAATATTGACATGGTGGTAAAGGCAGCTGGTACATAAGACCAAAGTTTACATAAAATAGGGATTGATCTAGTGAGATATTTATCGTATAGAAAATCGATGATAACAGGTACAAGATTAGTTAATAGTGCAAGCGAGTTAGTAATATCACCCGTTAGTAAATAGAATGAACACGAATTGGCTTTTAGCTTTGTTCTAAAGATTAGAATATAAATCGAATTACCAATAAGGACCGTAAAACCATATTTGTTTGGTTGCAAGCTTAAGTGTTTCAATATTGTCTTGTAGCATGTTTGAAATTTATGATGAAGCTTGAGAATTGCAGGCCTTTACAATTTCTCTCTGGAGGTTTTTTTTGGTTTCACAGAAAATACTATCTGGATTCATTTAACATCTATTTAGATTGAATGAGCAAGTGATGTCTTTACCAGTAGTACACCATATTTATTAGCTTTGATTTGACTTTTTTATTAACTTTTTTTTCTTTACTCGCTAGCAATATTTCATAGACAGATGGGCAGCAGTTACATATAGGGATTATTGAAGTAAAAATCATGACCATAGAAATTAAGCCTCAATTTTTCATACAATGGAATTCACTGATATTCAATGCATCGTTGATTTCCTCTACATAAATCTATTTCACTTTATTAGATAAAAACTGCAAAACTCGACGAATAAAATTACTTTGTTTGCCAAGATGGAGACAAAGCTCTTCTCAGGAGAATAATCCGACAGTATATTTTTCTAAAAACCAGATGATTTTTTGATGATTGTAAGTAACATCGATTAAGTATAATTGTTACTATAAACCATCTTAGCAATTGTCAAGTTATCTTTTGGAAACCGAAGTCATTTGACAACGAGAGTTTGCGAATGATTGTTAAAATCAATGCAGGCAAAAATTGTCAATTAGTCTTTTCAAAACTTAAGCTATCTCCACATGTGCGATAATAACATCGATTGGGAATAATTCTCAGAACGACTCCCTGTAGAAATGGTGAAGCTATTTTTTTTTAAACTAAAGAAAATTTTGGGTGTGGATGTGGGTATATGATATTCTATTCACTTACACACACACCCACATCTACAACCTAAGCAAAGTTTCTCAATAAAATTTTTTTCTCGATAAAGATAAATCTTGCGTAATGATTAAATAAATAACATATTTTACTCAATATCACTAGTATATTTCTTAAATCTTTTCAAGATTTGATCAATAATTGATATAAACGTCTATGAACGGTAGTGTAATGCGACTCGATGTATTTCTGAACTGCTATTGAAGTAAACTTATTCATAGAATAACTATTTGTATATGATTTAATCAAATATTGTTTCATTCTATGAACTTTACCAACATGTTTTCTTAAATTTGTAAGAACAGAGTTCTATGTTTTTTTGTTTCTCAATGAATAAAACTTAGTACAAAATGAAATATTTATATTCAGTAAAATTAGATTCTTTTTTTTCGAAAACGAAAAAGTTGTAATGAAAATGAGTTATATAAAGCATGAGTAGATCTTATTGTCCATCACCTTTCTATTCTATGCATTTAACATTTGTGAGAAGATTAATAAAATAATATTCACTCAATAAATAAGATCTATGTTCAAATATCTTCTCTCTCTTATTCATCAATCCTATATTGCATCTTTTGGGTTATTATAACTTATTACTGATAATAAGTAATTAAATAAGAAAAAACAATTTTATCTATTGTTAATAAAGAAGAACAAAAGCTCTAATATCATTAAAATAACACAAATAAAGAAAATTATGATAAAAATAAATAGCAAAGTGACATCCTAAATCGTTATAATGCAATAATATGAATAAAATAATCTGATGAGATTATTGTTCATAAGAGTCATGTAAGATTTTTTGTTTCATTTCAAAATTTTCATCGAATTTTTCCAGTTTTTTTCTTTTTAAAACGTAAATAATAATTAAACTAAAAACAATAATGCATATGCATGGAATTGTTGTAGCTAAAATAATTTTCCATTTTTGATTTTTATTTGATGGGTTTAATGAAAATTGAGTGCTGGTCATAGAATTTGATATTGATGATTCTTCTCTTGTGACTGTACTCCATTCAAAGGTTAACATCGCTGAAACTGTTGTCGTTATTGTTTTTTCATCAGCGGTTGTCATTGGAGGTAAACTTAATGATGTTATTGAATAAAGAGGTGATGATGATGATGATGATGTCCATTTCGTAAATGGAGAAGTTGTTGTTCCATTTATTAATAATTCACAAAATGCATCACTATTTTCACATCGATTCGTTAACTCATTGATAACTGAATCATTTCGTATACAATTTGGCTGTTGTTCGGGATCAAACAAATCTTTAAACTTGAAAATGAAACAATTGCATGGATGATTAATATCAATAATTAAAGTTGTTTTATTCAATATATGTGAAATTGGTTTAGTTAAGCAATAATCCTTGTCATTGAATTGAATTCCATTAAGAATTAAACGTGGTCCTGGTGGATAATTCCAATTGATAATTGAATCTTGATTATTTATATATGTTTTTCGATAAATCCAAAAATAATTTGTCTTATTCAGTTGAGAAAGATCCAAATTACTTAATATTTCAAGTTTTGATATGACAAACCAATTTATTTCCATCAAATTAGTACAATTAGAAAATGATAGACTTAAAATAGTTGATGATATTGGATAGAGAAATGAACTTGTTTCATTTTTAATGTCTTCTAAATTTGTTTCAATAGATGATATTGGATTTCCGGCCAAATTTAAATTTTGTATAACCGTTCCATTGAAAGCCATTGAATTGATATCTTTGATTTGATTATAACTTAAATCGAGCCATTCAAGTTGACTTGCTTGACTAAATATATTAGGATCTAATTTCTTAATTTGATTACAACATGATGTAATATTCTCTAAATTCGTCATATATTTCAATGGATTAAGATTATCTATTAAATTATTTGATATTCCGAAGAAAGCCAACGATTTATTTAATGGATTTAAAAATGATATTCTTTCATTGTCATTTGTTAATATTTCAAGTGATGTTAACAAATTTGTATTTAATTCTAATTCAATTAAAGCCACTCCAACGAATGAATCAGGTTCGATATTTCTTATTCGATTATTAGATAAATCTATTCGCCATAAATTTGCCATATTATAAAAAATATTTTTTGTTATTTCTTCAATTAAATTATTCTTCAAATCAATTTCTCTCATCTCTTGAAAATTCATTAGTGATGGTATTGAAATCAATTTATTCGATGATAAATCTAAATCAACAATAGTGTCAGAAAGACTTTCGATAAGAAGACTTGCATTTCTTAATGAACAATTAGCCACTGTTAGTTCAGCAGTAAATTCAATAGTTGACGGTCCGTTTGAAATAAATTTTATTTGACCAGAATTGATAATACTCATTTGATAGAATGACGAACCATCCATTGATTTCAAATTAAATTCATATGGAAGATTATTTATATAACTATATTGAATACTATCAATAATTACTTCGAAATATTTAATTTGACCAAATGCATAATCAGCAAGTTTGAAATTTTGTGGTGAAGTAAATGTTATATCAATAGGTTCATCTGAATAGTAATCCAATTCTTTAAATGCATATTCTCCAATTTCATTCAAACCTGAAATGAATGTGAATTCAGTCACCAAATCACTCAAAGGAAACGTTGTTGCAAAATTAGTAAATGTTGAAGATGTTAATCGTGTCAAATTTATAAATGTAAATGAATATCGACGATGATTTACTGAAGCAAATGATGACCAATCGACGAAACTATCATTTATGTCACTTTTTCCAATACAAGATACATATTCCATTTCATCTTTACAATAACAAGTTAATACGGGATTGTCCAGACAAACATTTTCTAATTTTACCAAATTTATAATTGATATCAGTTGAATTATAGAGAAAATTGATCTTAATGTCATCATTTATACAAATATGTTTTCATAACGATGAAATTCAGAGTAAAAACAAATAACACCTTGATACCTTAATAATTACAAGGCAGAAATTATTCTTATCTTTGTCTAACACATGACTCATTCACCAAAATTCGTCTACAGTCACTATCATGAGTTCTTAATACACATACGTAAAAAGACTTCTCATCGTCAACAAAACACACTAAACGAACAAATCTAAACATGTTACTCCATCTGAAAAGGATCTGATTTTAACAAACTGACGACCAAACAACCTACTAAATAGGTTATTGTATTTATTAATATCGAACATTCATTCACTACTCAATAACTAGATTTTTGGTAACATTTATCGGAGACACCCAATCATCTGCTATGCTTTTATGTCAACTCCACCATTGTGCTCGTGGAAAGGAGCATTTTTTCTTTGAGAAAAATTTTAGGTGCAAATTGCCGATTTTATCAACAAATTAAAGTTTGAAAAAAAGTCAAAAAGTGAATGAGAACAGAAACGTCAAAATATGTTCTCTTAACAATCTTTTAACGCAGACTGCAACTCATCTGTATAAAAACCTATTAAAGTGCTTGACACAACTGTAAATAGTAAGTCAACATATCTTAATGGTCAAAGTTTTGAGAGATTATTTTATAAAAAATTTTCAGCATCCAACGCTCTTTTGAATATGACATCTGTCTACAAACATTACACGAAATCGTACGCTGATAAGAGTCAATGTGATCACGAGTGTCATCAAGGACTATTGTGTGGCTTTAAGACAAGTTGCTCTGATGATCCTCATGCATGTAACTCAATTGCATTATTCTTTGCTTCATAATCGATAATCTTTTATCAAATGGTTTCAGACATTTTTTTTCTTGATACAATACTCGACAATATTTTGTGGACAATTTTATTTTAGATATAACTTTCTTATAAAGTTTGGTTTTGGACATGCGGTTTGCGTCAAAAGCACCATCAGTATTTATACTACATCGACAGGAAATATTGCCCCCAAATGTTGAGTGATTATGGAACTGAGTATATAGCAAGTTGAAGTAATCTATTTTTGTTGGAAGATCTTTTCAATCCAGTTAGTTTTTTTTCCACGATCGTTCAGAAGAATTGAAATTATATAAATTGAAAGAGGGAATATATCAATGGAGTGAAACGCTTATTTTACGATAAACAATTGAGAACGTTCATGTGAACTCTATTATTTTAATATAATGAATCACTTTGCTTTTCAATATCCATCAGTGGAACAACAATGTCATTTCACAGTCTCTCAATCAGATTGTTTCAATCTTTCGGGTGTGGGTGATGTGGCTGTGGCTGTAGGTATAGGTGAAGAGAAGACACACGCTCCACACATATACCCACATTCACCCATACCCCACAGCCTGCTTCAAATGAATGAGAACATTTACTGAAAGAATGCAGAGATCAAACAAGTAGCACTAAAAAGAAAAACGAAATAAAATACATTTGCAGTATGTATATCAAAGATTGGGTTATTACAATGAAGTATATGAAATTGAAATATTTACTTAGGACCACGATGTGACAATAACAAAATTACTCAGAACCAGAACAATCAAATTAGTGCATTGTTCGACAGAAATGATGACTTGTGATATTTTAACGCACATTACCAACTGATATCAAACGAAAAGAACTAATAAAAATGGATTTGTTTATTTCAATGTCTCCATTATCAAAATATTTGCATTCGATTATCTGATAAAATATTACAAAATTCTCTTACGACTCATTGCAAAAAAAAGTTGACGAATCACATAGTTCGTTGAAAATTTCGACTAAAATAATACATGCGAAAATCAACTTCACAATAAAAACAACAAAGGTTGGGCGTTAAATCTTCTTACTCACATCCACACTCTTGTTTGGCAATTTTTGAAATTCTCTTGACATATTTCGAACCAACAATTTTTCTACAGCCGTAGAGATATTGATATCACTGATTGGCAATCTTTCCTGTCATAGTAATTGTCATCAGACACAAACTATAACTTTAAAAACAATCTATGTCAGTGTTTCTGAGTTGATCAAGATTGATAATATAGCGTTGATACTTGTTGTAGACATTCATGTACATTTCGTATAAAAAGTTTATGGACGAGTCAATCGATGGTTAGAATGACAATATAGTTAAATTAACAGCAAAAGTTCCTAAAAAAATGATGTGCGAATAGCAACAGTGCCTGTAGAAAAAAGAAATTCCGTTAGAAATATAGAAATACAGGATAAAGATTATTTTTATGCCGATCGATTATCGAGGAAAATAAATATGATGTGCGACAATTTTTCACTTCACGTATTGTGTATTAGTAGAATCAAGCTGATTAAACTATGTGAGCTCTATATAGGAACCCGTAAGAGGCTTTAATAACAAGCTTTTACATCAGCAATCATTAATCATTCCATGAAATAGTCATCTCTCCATATCGTGAATCGCTCTTAGATACATCTAGTGCCTTCCAAACAGCTGGAGATCCGTCAACAATATTATGATGACACGGAGGTTGTCCAGCATGTTCTGCATCACATCCATTTACTGAGTCGCATTCACCAACAACCAGTGCTATTGTTGTCTTACCATTACCATGAATAGTAATAGTTTTTCCACATCGTGACTCTCCATTGAACCATCCTGTTGACAAGGCGAAAACACGCTGTGTATCAGGATAAAAAGCTCCATAGCATGTATCTGCACCACCACCATCTCTGTCTTCTTCGAAACTATTCACCGTGAGTATAGCTGAGCTAGGAGAGCATCGATATTGATCATAATATTGTCCTGTCTTACAACACGTGAACATATTTTCTGTGTTGCAGCTAGTACTAGGAAAAAAACAAATGCGTAATGTACACAAGACATATATAAAAAAAAGGATTACCTTGTGTCGATCAATACACCTGAAGGTGAGCAGGTTTTAGAAGAATCACCAGAAGACTCAGTACCGCATTTTCTGTTCACACAAACTAATGATCCATCACAGTCATTTTCAGTTCTACATAGGTTCCAACAACAATGCCCTATCTAGAAAAAGGATTTGTTGGATTCTGTACTACCATATGTACCACATTTTCCATCTATACATATCATAGATCCATCGCAATCGTTCTCAGTTCTACATGGGTCACCATGACAGTGTCCAAATCATGAGCAAGTTGCTCGCTTTTGAATTATATGACTGCAGTGCATATATCAATATTTGTACTAGTACGTACGTCCTTACAATCATTTAAACACGTCACAATACATATGTTTAATATTCGTATGGTTTAGGCTTCTACTTTTATAGTGTCATATTGCATACAAAGAGTTGAATATTCAGTCTAGTTTTGAGCGAATCGCAACAGCGAGGATTACTTGGAATTTATAAACCATTAAAATGTAACATGACTATGACGACATTAGATTTCAATATCTATAAAAATTATTCATGCATGATTAGTTTAGATATCTTTAATATTAAAAAGAGTACTTTAAACTGAATGTTTGAAGTTCAGTCTATCTTGGTTTTTTGTTGAGACGCGTTCTTTTCTCTTCATATTTGATCAAAGTTTCTTTTTCTGCTCATTTTTTAAATTAATATTTATTCGACTTTGAATCATGATATTCAAGGTTGAACAGTACGACACATAGACGACTGTACACAGCTCGAATACGGCAATTTTCGGTCTGAAACAAGTGATTGTATACGGTGTTTGTTTGCAGTTCTACGTACTTGAACTGCCATAAAAGACGACTGTTTATATTGAATTGTTGTTTGGCATGACAAATGTATTATAAGCATTTTCTATAAATGTTCGTTCTCTTTCTTTTTGTACATACCATATATTGCTAACTACAGTTATATCTGTCCTTTTGTTCTGTTAGATATTTTCCCCAGTGTTCCTTTATTGTCTTGTCTGCTTTGATGTCATAACCCATGTATTTTTCCAACTGTATTATGTTATCTATTGGTTTATTCCACATTTTCCGAATAATGTTAAACTTGAAACTTGAGTTCAGTTATTGAATGTCTTGTCTTTCGTGGCACCCAAATCGAGCGCATTGTATGTGCGTCTCTGGTTCCGAGAATACTACGATACAAGAACAATTGAATAATTATAATCATTTTATTTTCATTATTTTTCTCTACTATCAACTTTGAAAAAAACACAGTTGTAATTCCCACCCTGACAAATAACAGAAAACAAAACTTCAACATGTTGCTGAAAAGTATTGATTCTTTATTTAAAAAAAAGATTTTCTCGATGTAGCGATAATCTACCATCGTTGAACAAACTCTTATTTATTAGAGTAATCATTCCATATAGCTTCTCTCTACTGAAGTTCATATGACTAAATGTCTTATATTATTTTGCATTTTGAATTTGTACTCTGTATGCAAACTAATCACTTCTATAGTAAATTATCTAACATCTATTGATGCAATGTCTGAATTTGTTCTTGGGTCAAGCAAAATAGACAACGTCATTATTTAAAGAAATCTCAAAAAAAAAAATATGAGAATAGAATAAAGTCAATGACTTTGATATATGACTTTTACTTGTATTGTTAAAAACGAAATTACCATCTTGAATTATTATTTTGGAATTTGAATATCATCAGTTCAAAATAGAATTCTGTATTAGTACGATTTTTTGTATCTATGCAATTTTATTTCATATATAAACTAAAAGCTGATACTGATGATCTTATATTTTCATCATGACAATAACTTATTCTCTTTCGAATAAACTTTTTTTCCTCATATCTCAGATCAACTCGTTGTAAAATTCAATATGAATTTAAAAAACAGTGGTTCGTTTTATTTCTATCAAGCATTCTGAAGGATGTCATTATATGAAGTTATCTTCGAATATTTTTTTTTACATTTATGCCTTTGAATACAAAAAGAAACAATAGAGTGGACTAATTATCTTAAATTGCTAGATATCCTGGTAGAATACAAGACATTAGTTCAAAAATCCAATAAATAGGATCTATTTTGAAAATTCTTTCAACATTTTATTATTTAGTAGTTTTAAGAACGTTCTTAAAATCAAATTTAACTGATTGATAAATTTTCTTTTTTAATAAGCTGAAACATTCGAAATACATCATTCAAATCTACTCTTTATTGTTTTATCTATTTTTCATGAATGAATACTCACTAATTCGTCTTTCTCTCTTAGTTGTTGAGTACCAAATGATGATACATAATCATTTCGATACGAGTTAATCAAGATAAAATCGTTTATCCCCTACTTATGTTCACAGTTAAGCATTTTTTTACATTTCTTTCTTATTTTTTTTATGTTGGTAAATATGTTTGAAAAGTAAAAAATTGTTTCTTTGGTACTTTCTCACATCAGTTCGAACCATGAGATAGCGTAATATGTCATTGGCATGTGATAGAACACTAGATAGTTCAGCGAATTTCTATATAATGAATCAATTAGTGATAAATAAATGTAATAAACTTTAGTTTTCTGTGTTTTTGTAGTCATCTTATTATTTCGAACTATAACTATCAATCAATTAAAGATTTAATTACAAGACGTGAAGTATTCAAACATAGTCAATATATGATTTACAATAAGTTTTACTTCATTGATTCAATGTAAAAATGCCAATTCCAATAATATTAGAATATCGAAGAATTTCTTTTGATGTAATCAATTTATTTATGGAAGTTGTATTTTTTTTCCGTATATGATTTTGATTGTGATGATTGATTATATAAAAAAAAAAAGATTGATTAGTTTGCAGTTATGTCAATGATTTCTTTTGACATATATTTTGTTCCATATAATTATGCTAGATATATTTTGTTTTTTCGTGTATGTTAGATATCTAATGTGATTTGTTGTTTTTTTTTTCTAAATAATATCTAGAATATCAATTTGTCGTATAAATTTCTAATTCATTAAAATAGTAAATTTCTCGAAATATCGCAAATAAGTATGAGAAGCTATAATTTTGTTCTGTGGTTATTAAAGCTATTCATATAATATATAGTGACTCATGACAAAACAAGGAGACTTCAAGAGGGGAAAAGTACGATACCATGCAAATTTATCTTCTACTTAATAATATCCATAGACTGTTTAAAAATTGAACTTTTTTTTCTTGACTTCAATTAGAAGAAAACAAGCCATTGATAGACATACTGTGAGTTACTGTAGTCATTCTATTATGTACATAATATACACTGGAAATTATAAAAATCTACATAACTCTCTTATAGTAATGTTTAGAATTAAATCCTCTTATTATATGTAATATATCATTTTATCAATCATCTTTAAAATGGAAAAGATTGTCAATTTCTTCAATCATTGATAAATTTTCACACGATTACATATTCAAATGTTTTGCTTATAAAAAATTAAGAATATGAAAGTATGTTTTCAAATAAATTAAAAATCAAACATAGACAACATTCAACACAAGTGCTGATTAATTTACAACGAGGACGGTAATCGATTCAATGGTGATAATTGTGTTATTGCTTTTTCTTTCTATTGATTTAATCGTATATAAGAACAAACTAAACATTTTAAACTGAACATCTTACAGAAAAGTCATCATAGTCAATAGATTTGAAACTTAGAATCATTGAATAAAACCTCAAATGATTAATGGATAGTCTAGGGTCTATTCATTGTTCTTAAGTTGCTCTTGTCGTTGTTGTTGTTGTTGCTGTACTTGTTGTTACTGTAGTTGTTGTTATCGTTGTTGTTGTTGTTGTTGTGCTTATCGTAGTTGTTGTTGTTGATGTTGTATTTTGAGTACTATTCGTTGATGACGAAACATTTGTAGTGCTTGAAATTAAATCTCCACTACTATTATTTAATCCAATACCCAAACCTAATCCTAATGAAAAACCTAAGACAATGAGTCCTACACCAATACCGACAATTATTACCAATGGTTGCGGTTGCCAAGGAGTCCATGGCTTTGGCAATGTATTATATGGATATTGCATTATAATTGAAAATAAAATAATGTTCACAAATAGGTAAATACTTTAAATTGATTATTTCCGCTGTTTTACCTTACCATTAATGCATCGTGTCGCAAAATAAAATTATTTTTGTCATGAAAAAAAAGACAGAAAATGATAGTTCGTTTATACACCTGTCATAGATAGGAACTAGAAGATTAAACACATGTCTATAGACATAAAAAGGTGCTTCATACTGTCAAGGTTATTTTCAATATTAATTGAATAATTAATGCATGCTTCACTTATTCGATGTTTGTGTGTTTTTTTTCTTTAACTTATGCTTTTCTCGAATAAAAACTAATTATGATAGTACAATCGAAAAAACATCAAACTAAAATCAACATTAAATTCATTTATCTCATTAATAGAATTTATAAATTGTTTAAATCGTCTGATATCAATGGTATTAAAACGATCGATCAACATATTTTTGATCATATTGCAAAGTATATTCGTATTTAAAATCATGAAGATATAGATCAATTATATTGAGCTATAGACACATCGTCAAGGTATAATCATATATGGTGTAATAGGGTTGTTTACAAGCGTATACAAACTGTGTATTACGCATCGTGAGCATATATGTCACAACTAAAACATCAAACGAACTAAATACAATATTTATTGCCTATTTTAAAATACAAAAAGAAAAATTAATAGTAGTCATTGCTTTCTCTAGATTTAGATGGATTGTTAAAAATAAACAAGACAATATATCGTTAAAAGACGAAGAAAATCATTAAATTTCATGGTGCTTACTAATATCTTCGATGACGCACGACATTGTAATATCTTCACTTATGAATCTTTCACTGTTGCTTACCATTGTAAAGGATAACAGATTTAAGCTCTGATCAATGGATTTGATTGTTAACATAGAAATTTTCAGCTAACTCATTATTTTTAAATTATTCTAAGTTATTAAAATAGACTATTGTAACAATAAAAATATTTCAAAGGTTTATAAATTAAAAAAAAAAGATTCTTAAATTATTCCATACAATTATAGATATATTTGAAAAATATATAATTTTTAAAAATATTCTTCAGATTTTATTCGTTTTATTTCACTATCTTTGTTTTCATAGGAACTAGTCAGGCTTTGATTTACTACCATCGTTATACGAACAATATAAAAAGCGTGAATTGATCAGATAATAATTCTATGAAATAATTAATAATAATGTTTTTTATCTTATCTAGATATTTAATAGTATGTTGAGACCTGCTGTCGATATCATGGATATGTTCTACTGGTTTATTTGCTAGTTAAATCAATAGTTAGAATAATTATAATCGTAAATTAAGAAAAACATGCTATTCGAAATATAGACAACAATAAGACAGATCGTTTCTCTAACGATCGATGATCCCGGGAAAACAACTATACATATTATGAGAGATTTTTTTCCCTTTTAATGTACTTTGTATGAATATAATGAAGCTAAGATATATATGTGAGTTCCATATTTGAGTCTCAAAATAACTGCATTAATAAGCTTTCCTTTATTGCTTTTAGTGCCTGTACTCATTTGATTTCTTCTAAAAAAGATCAAATATATGAATGTCATAATAACTTCATAAGCAGTAAATTAAAACGTAATAAATTTTATTTCTCACGAATTCCTCTTCATGGTCGAATAAGTTACTAGCAATCATTTTATAAATCAGTTAATATTCAAGAGTCTGTTGCATGAATAAATACAATTTCAATAAAAAAAGGATAATCATAAAAGAAAAGAAGATTTCAATGATGACTCTTGATCTAAGGTGAGAAACATTGATTTATCAATGTCAGGTTGGATGCAATATAAGTCGGACAAGTAAACGTAAATCATTAATGAGTATTGTTCGTCAACGTAGATTTGAATCTAAAACTATGAATTATATCGAGCGAAAGAATGAAAATTTGTATAAATAATTATGGCAACTATTTGAAACATTTAACAAAACAAAATTTTTAAATATTTCTTTAGTTTTTATATTTTTATTTAATATTGTCAGTTCTTTTAGTTAACCCAAAGTAATCATTTAAAATTCACATGTTCATAAGTATGAGATACTACAGTTACTATTCGATATTGAATATTAATAAATAATAACTCTCATTTTAAAAGCAAGCATTTATATTGATATGTGTTTTAGTTGAATATTTAAATTTAATTGAAAGAAAATTATCCAAGTATGATTGATTATGATTTATAAATAAAAGCATAATAGCTAAATTACTTGACACTTTGCTACTTGACATTGAACTAAAAAATATAGAATATGCACTTCTTTTTTTTTTGTTAATTTTTTCATCTAATCATTAATTTCGAATATATAGGAAATATCGAATTTATTTTTCTTTATTTATTTTTATTATTGAATTTTATTGTTAAATCACCAAAATAAATGAGAAAAATTTGCAAAAAATTCATGAAAATAAAAAAAATTTTTATCAGTATATTTATGGTTGACGTAATTTCTTTTTTGTATCATTTATATGTGTATTTAGTTTGGAAATTCTATCAACATCGTCTCGTGGATAATCGTCCATAATTTTTAATGCTGATTGAAATTGTTGCAAAGCAAGTGGAAATTGTTTTTGTTTGTCATAAATACGACCAATATTTGTATAATAGTCAACTAAATCCAAGTGATCGGGTGGTAAGCTTTTCTTACCCACTTCTAATGCTTGTTGAAAATATTCAAGTGCTTTTACATAATTTTCCATATTTTCATATACAAGACCAATTGTATTCAATGTTGATGCTATTGAAGGATGAACTGATGGTAATCGTTCCAATTTACTCTTTAAAACTTGTTCAAGATTTTTCAAAGCATTTGTATTATCACCATATTCTTTTTCAATTTTTGCTTTGAGACTCTTCACCTGAGCCTCAAGTAATGGATTCTTTGATTGTGAGGATTTAGATAACTTTTCTTCGGCTAGTATTTGTTGTTCTTCTGCACTTCGACTATCTCCTAATTCCAAATGAACCAAACCAAGATTACAATGAATAGCTATAACTTGAGGATTATCGTGACAATTCAATTGAGAATAAATCTCAAGAGCTTTTCCATAATATTCAACAGATTGTTCTAGATGATGAGTAGCATTATAAATAAGGCCAAGTAAATTATAAGCTTTTCCTCGTCCTTTATCGTTCGATGGTAGTTGTGTGAGTATTAATTTTGCATGACGTTCAGCTTCATCAAATTTATTCATTCGAAAAAGAAACCAACCGAAACATAATGGATCTGGTTCTGATCCAATTTGTTTCATCATGTGTTCCGAAAGCTTTTGACTAAATTCATTTTCTTCTTTACTTAATTGTAGATGAACATGCCACATCTTGCCATGTTGTTCGACTGATTGAACTTTAAAAATAGCACCTATTGAAAAAAGCACTTCTTTTTCTTCATCTTCATTATCTGAAGAACATGAAGAGTCTTTTATAATTGCAAATGGCGTCATATCTTTAGTCATATTATAAATATCAATTATGAAAAGAACAGATTGTAATGGTGATGGTTTATTCAATTGATCACTTGTATCAGCAAAAATTTTAGCAACTGCTTCATCCAATGTAGTACTTAAGAAACTATTCATTGAAATAAGATTTTTTTCATTACTTTTAAGTAGATCTAGTTCTGTCATACTTAAACGTTGACCACGATAAACTGTTAAATGATGATGAGTAATAATAGTAGAATGAGTTTCTAAATATCGATGATAAAGTTGTTCAATTTGATTATGAAGATCATTAATAAAAAATCGAAATTTAAATATAATTTCAGTATTTTGTGTACGTAAGGCTAAGTTTAATAATCGATATACAAAACTATCATTTGTATACCACCAAAATGATTTTGTTGGAGAATAATTTTGTTCAAAATAATTTATTTTATTTTGTTCGGTTACATCATTATAATAACTTGCTCGAGATTCAGCGATCATTTCAGTTTTTGAATTACCATATTTTGCCATTAATCGAATAACTATCAATATTAATCTATACCACATAAATGTTCTACTTTCTTTAGTTAATTCTCGTAATGTATATTGTTGTTCAGCAAGATGAAATACACTCATTGGTAAATTTTCATCTGTATTACAAACACCAACATCATTACCAATTTTATGTAATAGTGCTGGTCTTTTTGTAAATATACCAGAAATTTTTGAATATGGTCCAGCCCATGCTTGAGCTTTTTTTTGATCACCACAAAATACATATATTGCTTGTACATATGGTATTTCATGTATAACTGGTATAACATTTGGACCAAAAGCATTAGAAACAATAAGAAATATTCGTTTTACTGGTTCATCAGTCACGTCATCAATACATTTATCTGAATCATCATATGTTAATAAATGACCTCTAACGAGTCGTCGTAAAAGTGCTTTTGTATTTTGACTATCTTTGATCTTTTCAATAGTACTGTCTAGCCAAACGACAACGAAGTTATTTGTTAAATTACTGATGTTTTCACTTGCCATGTTTTTATATACACGTGACTATAAAAATAAGGTTACTTTAGTCGTTTTTCTTTGTCGTCTAATATTTGTTTGCTTTTTCTTTTCTTTTCTTTCTGTTTTACTTTCTTTCGTTTTTTTTTATAGATGAGACGACAAAAATAAATAACATTGTCGTAAAGACTCGTATATAATAAGTGTCTGGGTGTGTGTGTTATTCTCTTTTCTCCATGCAATTTTTTTTCTCGATTTCTTTTAGTTTTGTGTTGATTTTTTCTTCGATGTTCTTCTTCCGTTTAGTATTACTTAATTTTTTTAAATTGCTTTGATGCATCATCAATAGACTTTTTCTCTTATCTTCTTTGGAAATTTTCCAAATCTAGAAATATTTAATCGTTTATAAGTAACTGTTGCTTTTATGATGTATGGAATAACAAACAAGTTTTGTTTTAAATTTTACAAATAGACTACATATAAACGAAAATATATATGTGTATCTAATAGTTCGACTTTTTATATGAGATCATTAATATAATTTTCATTTTTATTCAATTTCTGAGTAATGGAAAAATATAAAGAAATATATTAATTATACGTAAAAATATTCAAAAAGTTTTCGAATCAATCAGTAACATATGAAAGCAAGAAGAACAACTGTTATATTCTTATTGGTGTTCCTGTATAGTTCATACAGTTCTCTATTTATATATTCTTACTGAAAACAAATAAAAGATTTTCTCTTGAAGTTACAGTTGACTTTAAATTTAGCGTAAATATAATGTGAGTAATATAGTCACTGTGGCAAAACATTTTGAATTAAAAAACGGATTGTTTTTCAAAAGTTCTTTTATTTTCATATGATTATTTTAGTTCAACACTAATTACTATTCCGTGTTCTTGTATTATATCATACCTTGTTTTGAATTATACAATTAAAATTAATCAATATTTTATAAATTTATGTGAAATAGATCTTAATCTTATGTAATTGATCATGGAAAACAAAGATGATACATGCTTAACATTTGAAAGTAGATTAACGTGCCTGGATCCAAGTTTTATACGAACATAACAAATAATACTCATAACCGGACCAGTCAGATATTTTAAGAAATCAATTTTAATTCAGTTAAAATTTGAAAATCTCTATATTGTAATAAAAGATGTAAACTTTCTCAATTTATCATAGCAGAAAAATAAAGAAATCCTTCATCTACAGATTTTACACTTTTCTTTGACAATAGTCTTCTTCAAAGTTGTGCGTACGAAAATTATTTTATTAGTATCAAACAAAAAAACGAGAATTTCAAACTCTATAAAATGTTTTAAATAAAATCAAAATTATATTCAATTCTACTCAAATATTGATTAATACTATTTTAAATGTTTATTTAATTACTTATAATACTTGTACACCTTTGATATCTTTTAAAAGGAGTAAAGATACGAATGCTATAGTAGTTTTATCAATAGTAAAGTAAAACATGAGCAAATTAAATAAAATAGTAACTATAAAAATCGAAATATGTTATAGGGTGTGAGTATAGCTATAAAAAAATAGTACGAATGAACGAGCAAAAAAAGAATGAGGTAGACCAGTGAATACTTTCCATCTTAAATCTGCCGTTTACATTAGAATATGTTTTAGCTAGATATTTAAATTTGATGTACAGAAAATTATTCTAAACAATATCAATTGTAAATTATAAACAAAAGTTTGATAGATAAAGTATTCAATGCTTTGCGTCTAAAAATTATACTACTAGACGAATAGAATACATATTGCTTTTTTTTCTTTTCATATTCTTTCATTTAGTAAAGTTTTTTTTTTTTGTTTTCAGAAAGTCAAACGTTTTTTCTATTGAATGAATTATTAGACTGAGTAACTATACTTAAGTGTAATATTAATTTCGAATACATAGAAAACATCCAATCGATTTTTCTTTATTTGTTTTTATTATGAATTTTCGTTCTAATGTCATGAAAATAAGTGTGAAAACGATTACGAAAACCGCTTGAAAAGGAAAAATTTTCATCAGAAGATTGCTCATTGATACAATGTACCCTTATGTGAACGATTTGTCTATGTAGTTCGGTAATCTTATCATGTTCTTCTTCTCGATAATTTTCCAAAATGTGTATTGCTAATTCAAATTGTTCCAAAGCAAGTTTAAATTGTTTTTGTTTATCATAAATACGACCAATATTCGTATGATACTCAGCTAAATCCATGTGTTCGGGTGGTAAGCTTTTCTTACCAATTTCTAATGCTTGTTGAAAAGATTCAAGTGCTTCTACATTATGGTCCATTTTTTCTTGAACAATACCTATTACATTCAATGTTGATGCTATTGAAAAATGATTTGCTGGTAATTTCTTCTTTTTGGTCTCTAAAACCAATTTAAGCTCTTGCAAAGCAACTTCATTATTACCATATGCTGCTTGAACTTGTGCTTTGAGACTCCTCAGTGAAGTTATGACTAATGAATTCTTTAATTGTTGGGAAGTGAGCAGCTTCTGTTCGGCTTGTAATTGTTGTTCTTCTGCATTTTGAATATCTCCTAATGCCAAAAATGCCAAACCAAGATTACAATGAGTAGCTATAACTTGAGGACTATTATGACAGTTCACTTGAGAATAAATCGTAAGTGCTTTTTTATAATTTGTAACAGATTCCTGTAACTTATGAGCATTTTTACATATAAGACCAAGTAAGTTGTAAGCATTTCCGATTGCTTTATCATTCTGTGGAAGCTCTTTAAGTATATATTCCACATAACGTTCGGCTTTGTTAAATTCACTCATTCGATAAAGAAACCAACCGAAACACACTGGATCTGGTTCAGATCCAATCTGTTGCAGCATGTGTTTTGAAAGGCTTTGACTAAGATCGTTTTGTTCTTTACTTAATTGTAGACGAACATGCCACATGTTCTCATGTTGTTTAACTGATTGAATTTTAAAAATAGCACCTATTGAAAACAGTACTTCGTCTTCATCACCTTGACAACACCAGAACTGTTTAAGTATTGCAAACGGTGTTGTTTCTTTACTCATACTATTTATATCAATAATGAAAAGAACAGATTGTAATGATGATGGTTTATTTGATGTATCACCTGTATCAGCAAAAACTTTAGCTAATTCTTGATTTAATGTAGTACTTAAAAAACTATTCATTGAGATAAGTCCATTTACACTACGTTTAAGTACATTAAGCTCTGTTAGACTTAAAAGTTGACCACGATAAACTGTTAATTGATGATTCATAGTAGAATCAAGGGTATCTAAATATCGATGATGAAGTTCTTCGATTTGATTATGAAGATCATTAATAAAAAATCGAAATTTAAATATAATATCAATATCTTGTGTACGTAAAGCTTTGTTTAATAATCGATATACAAAACTATCACATGTATACCACTCAAACGCTTTTATTGGACAATAATATTTTTCGAAATTATCTATACTTTTTTGTACGGATTCATTATTATGATAAATTTTTCGACATTCAGCAATCATATCAGTTTTTGCATTACCATATAGTGCCATTAATCGAAGAACAATCATTATTGATTGATACCACATAAATGTTGCACTTTCTTCAGTTAATTCTTGTAATGTATTTTCTCGTTCAGCAAGATGAAATACACTCATTGGTAAATCTTCATCTGTATTATATGCACTAATATCATTACGAATTTTTTGTAATAATGCTGGTCTTTTTGTGAATATCCCAGAAATTTTTGAATATGGTCCAGCCCATGCTTGAGCTTTTTGTTGATCACCACAAAATACGTATATCGCTTGTATATATGATATTTCATGTATAACTGGTATGACATTTGGACCAAAAGCATTAGAAACAATAAGAAATACTCGTTTTATTGATCCATCAGTTATATCATCAATACATTTATCCGGATCATCATATGTTAATAAACGATGTTTAACTAGTTGTCGTATAAATACTTTGGTATCTCGATTACCTTTAGTCTTTTCAATACCATTATCTAACCAGATGATAGCGAAATCGTCGATTAAATTATTAGTATTTTCATTTGCCATACTTTGCATTCAAATGACTACAAAAATAAGCTTAAATTACTTGCACTAGTTTACCTTTTTTTTTTCTCTTCCTTTTTCTATTCTTTCGTTTGTTTGTTTGTTTTTTTTTCTAAAGGAGATAATAAGAATGAATATCGTTTTTATATGTGCATGCGAATGTATACTCTATTCTCTCTCTATTATAAAACTTCTTTTTATAGTTTTTTTCCAATTTGGTCCATGTTTTTATTCTATAGTGCAAAAATACAGAAAAGAAAAAAAACGAAAAAACAATCTCGAAAGAAAAACATCGAATTGAAATAGTCTCGCAAAGAAAAATAGTCAGAGAACAAAAAATTATTCACATGAGTATTTTAACCAATGATAAAAAATTTATTAATTAAAAAAAAAATACGATAACACAATCATGTCAAGTGTGACTCACATTATACATAAAATAACGAAATATTTATGCAATAACTCAAAATAAACAGCCATTTTTTTTCTTTTTGATACAATGTTTTTCTCGAAAATACGACAATCTAGGTAATAGTTCATCCATAAGGTTGAATCTAGAAACGAATGAAAGAATTAGTAATGTGTAGGTATCAATGGATAGGCAATCAAGCATAATGAAACGTAATTCATTCTACTATATGTGTGTATAAATATGGATATTATAATCAGAGAGGTGCACATCAACACAAGCATGGGCTAACGCAATAAAGAATATTTACAATATTGGAGTTCGGCGACATCTTATCATCATAATTTTCGATATTTTTCTTTTCAGCATTTTTATTTGAAATTAAAGTATAGTTCCTGATATTTGTTGAGCTTCAATTCAATACTCTTGAATGACTTATTGACTTCTAATATTTTCTTTTTATTACCTATGAAATAGATTAAATTGTTTGTTTTTGATATCCTATTTGCTTATAATGACTTACTTCCTTTCAAAATTTTTCTTGTCATATTAAACGTGCCTATTTTCAATTGGTACGAGATTTTTAATCATCATTTTCTTCATTGAGTTAGGCTTTGAAAATGTTTACTTTTTGATAAAGGATGTCAATTTTTCTGGTGTATCTACTGCAATAAGGATCGTAATTATGTTTTCTTCTAAATGTACAACGACCAAAAAGAAAAATAAAAGGAACTTTCCCGTCTACATAAGTATACTTAGACAATCTTTTTCAAACTTGTACTGACGTAAACTATTCTATTCATATCAACAAAGATAAAAGTCCAAGCTCTATAGAATGTGTATATTAATAACAGCTGATTTATTTTCGAACTCATAATCGTTATTGTTGACACATTTTTTTTTGTTACATGAAAACACGCCCATATCAATAATTTATTATTGGTGATAACGCCTGTTCAAACTCATACTTTGATAATGGATGAAATCCATTATGTAGATAGAAGTTCTAAACGAATTAGTGCTATTATCGTGTTCTGGTCGTGATATAATCATTCTACTGAATTTTGTAGCTTTGTAAAAATTATTTTCCCATGAAATATAATAAATCAATTCACATAATTGAAAAATTAATATTTAAAAGATACATTTTTCTATTATAAAAGTAAAGTAGATTATAATTTTCTAATAGTAAATTAGAAATCTGCTTTTCTTTTTACTACTTACGTATGTTCATTATTTAAGTTGAAATCTATCGGTTAAGTTTTTTTTTTTTTAATAAATTTTTAATTTTATCAGTAATGAAAATTCTAATAAAACTAACATAAAATAAACACTTGGCAAAGAATAATATTGTTAGTTAAAGAAGAAAAATAAGATTATGTATTTTTCTTCTAGACAGAAAATATGTTGGGCATCTATTGCAACTTGTATTATTATTATTATTATTATAATAAAGACTTATAAAATGAGAAAATGTTGTATGTCATTGATCAAGTTAATAGAAGACTTACTAAAGAGTCATACTCGAGTGTCAGAGAAAACATGTGTTTTGATGTAGTTATTTCAATTGAAAACTCTACCCAAATCATAGTCTAATTCGAATGATGAGATTATTTGATCTTACACCTATGCAAAATATGAGCTAAATCAAGTATAATGGCTCAATTTGACCGATACAAATCTGTAAAAATCGCAACATTCATTATCATAACTTTATTTCATGAATCATCCGGTCGTGAGGGTTTGAGCCTACGAAATACGATATTGGACTACCTCAAGAGAAGATTCACATCCGCACGTCTTTATTAATAAGCATGAGAACTTGTATTTCAGTCTTTTTCAAGTGTTCGAGTTGCTACACGAGCATGTAGTGAGTTTAGATTATATATAGGGTGTCCAGGAATTCACTAGACAGAGAAAATTTTGTATTATCTCCTCTATAGTTTGATCAAATAAGCTGATATCTTTATCACTGATAGAGCAGTATGCTCATAGACCATAGTCATAAGAGAAACCCTGTTCGAAATTGTTCTGAAATGTTTACAACTAACTTAAACAAAGCAGTGTGACCTATCACAACTTATGAAAAATAAATGTTGTAGATTTTTCAACAAATCTTTGCTATTTGTGGTTGAAAATTTTAGAGTACACTGAGTAACAAGACATATATCTGTAGTATAAATATCCGACCAAACATCATTGGTATGAAAAATTATTGAAAAAAATTAGACGTTGTTTATCCTTGGTTCAGGGAGTAAATTTACTTTTCTTTGCAACTCGTGAAAGGTTACAATTCTTTATTTAAGTTTGTTGTAAGCACTTCAAAACGATTTTGAACAAGATTTCTCTCATGACTATGATCTATGAGCATTCCTCTATCAGTAGTGAAAATATCAGCCTATTTGATCAAACTATAGCGGAAATAATACAAAATTTTCATTAACTAGTGAATTCATGAACACCTAACATCAACACCACGGTTACACCAATAAGGAATCAATGAATGATACTTTCCCAAGCGATGGTCATTATTAATTGAGCGACTTCGTGAAATAGTGCTGTTCATTGAAGAATTTTCTATTGCGAAGAAAAACGATAGCAAATTATGTACTTTCTGTTTTTCTTGTAATTATGGCTGATGAAAAATGAATTCGATTTAGTTTGAATAGATTATTTTAGATGATCATGTTGGAGATGAAATTTTCTGCTATGATTTTTTTTATTTGATGGATTTGAATGAGACAATCGTTTGTTATCAACATCTTTGAAAGATATTGTTAAAATAGATCAAACTGCTAAGAATCAATATTTGTATTATTAAATCTGCTAGATCTGGAAAAGGTCAATTACATAAATCGTTTTGTTATGTGCTACAAGGATCGTGTCAGTCGATCATTATTGAAAATTCGTTTAAAGATTATTGATTGTAATATAAGAAAACTTCTCGTCACCAACAAAAAAATAATATTCTCTTTGGTAAAGCATATAATTCTAAATTGTTTAAACATGTTGTTCCTGCAACTGCGTTATGTTTTATTGGACTTTGATTTTGTACGAAAATTATTTTCCTGAATCAGTTCTTTCAACATAGACATATGTAAAAACAATTGGCTTCTTTTTAGAGATTTTGAAGAAGAATTTTCTACTCTTTGGATTTGATTTTGAGCTTCTCATTCAGTGATACGAGCATTTTTTTCGTTTGTAAATTCGTACTCTGTCACATCGCTAACGAAAAGTAAATCTTTCTTTTTCTTGAAAAATCTAAGTGTGTGCAGAAAAAACTTTGAATAGAGATAAAAAAAAGGTTTTTATCAATGGTTTCGTTTGGAACTATCTTGAGTAACATAACACACATTTAACATATAAATATTAGTTCTAGAAAAGTTCATGGTGCCGAGATACATGCGTTTTAATTTTGTGATATGATATATCGCTAGCGAATGATTTTTGCTATATACAGAATGATGTGCAATTGTGTTTAATAAATCAAGTTTTGTTTAATTGTCCGATGGCGCAAATACTCTATTTGATGATCAACGTGTCATTTTATGTAGAGTAAGATATGCTGATTTATTCTAAAGAATTAATATTCCAATATATTTATTATCAATTATTTATAAGGGTCGCTGATGCTAAAGTTGCTAAATAACTCTTTGAAAATTCAATAGAATTTGTTTAGTCATCAAAACATCAATGAAAAAATTATCTTCATCATTTAGTTACTCAACGAATGGAATTTTTACAAGATGCAACTAATATGATTATTCTGGATCATGTATATACATTGTGGAAAATGTCATTTTTTTTGCTTGTACTAAAGAATATGTATTATATAGGATGAAAATTCACTAAAGTAGTAAAAACATAACAGAACATACGAATACATATATTTTAGCTCTTACTTTTGCAGTCCTTCTTACTTCTTTTAAAGTAAACATACGAATACCGTGATACATTCATAATTGGTAATATAATGTACAATACATGTAATTTCTTATAAATCTTTCTTTGAAATCGAGTATTAAACTATAAAATAACTGAAACTAAACGGTCATGATTGGAGATCGCAAGTAGCGTGTTAATTAATACGGCATAATGCGATTATTATTCGTTACTGAATATTTATCACTAACGACTTTCATCTTAAAACTGCCATTTACAAAGGTACATATTTTAATTCGATGTTTGAATTTCAAACACAAAAGAGAATATATATATATATTATCTATTTTTATTCCAATATTGACTGTGGTTTTATTTAAAAAGTCTAACTTTGTTTTCTTTTTCAATGAATTATTAGTTTGGATAACTATCTGGGAGTGTATTAGTAATTTAGAATATATTCAAAGTATTAAATCTGTTTTTGTGGATTTGTTTCAATCATGAAGTTTTATCCTAATTTAATCAAAATACATGAGAAAAAAACAATTACAGAAAATTTACGAAAAGATAAAACTTTCATTAATAAATTTATGGTCGACGTAACTTTTTTTTTGTTTCAATTATATACTTTTCTAAGTTTTCAATTCTATCAGTTTCTTCTCGTGGAAAATCTTCCATAATTTTTAATGCTAATTCAAATTGTTCTAAAGCAAGTTTAAATTGTTTTTGTTTGTTATAAATACGACCAATATTCGTATGATAATCAACCAAATCCAAATGATCAGGTGGTAAGCTTATGTTACCAATTTCCAATGCTTTTTGAAAATATTCAAGTGCTTTTACATCGTTGTCTAACTTTTCTTGAACTTTACCTATTTCATTCATTGTTGATGCTATTGAAGCATGAACTGATGGTAATTGTTCCTGTTTTCTTTTTAAAACCAATTCAAGATTCTTCAAAGCATTTATATTATCACCATATTCTGTTTCAATTTTTGCTTTGAGACTTTCCACCGTAGCTATGAGTAGTGAATTTTTTGATTGTGAAGAATTGAATAACTTCTCTTCCGCTTCTCTTTGTTGTTCTTCTGCATTTCGACTATCTCCTAATTCCAAATGAACCAAACCAAGATTACAATGAATAGCTATAATTTGCGGACTATCGTGACAATTCATTTGAGAATAAATCTCAAGAGCTTTTTCATAATATGCAACAGATTCCTCTAACTTATGAGTAGCTTTATACATGAGACCAAGTAAATTGTAAGCATTTCCAATCGCTTTATCCTTCGATGGAAGTTGTGTAAGCATATATTTTGCATAACGTTCAGCTTCATCAAATTTATTCATTCGAAAAAGAAACCAACCGAATGATAGTGGATCTGGTTCTGAACCAATTTGTTTCATCATGTGTTCCGAAAGATTTTGACTAATTTCGTTTTCTTCTTTACTTAGTTGTAAATGAATATGCCACATGTTCGCACGTTGCTCAACTGATTGAACTTTAAAAATAGCACCTATCGAAAAAAGCACTTCTTCTTCATCTGGACAAGACGAATAGTTTTGTATAAACGCAAATGGTGTCATTTCTTTACTCATATTACAAATATCAATTTTGAAAAGAACAGTTTGTTTTGATGATGGTTTATTCAATTGATCATTTGTACCTGCAAAAATTTTAGCGATATCTTGATTCACTGTAGCACTTAAGAAACTATTCATTGAAATAAGGTCATTGACGCTACTTTTAAACATACCAAGTTCTTCCATACATAAACGTTGACCACGATAAACTGTTAAATGATGATGAGTAATAATAGCAGAATGAGCTTCTAAATATCGTTGATAAAGTTCTTCGATTTGATGTTGAAGATCATTGATAAAAAATCGAAATTTAAATATAATTTCAATATTTTGTGTACGTAAAGCTTTGTTTAATAATCGATATACAAAACTATCTTTTGTATACCACCAACATGCTCTCGTTGAATCATAATTTTTCTCAAAATCATCTATTTTCTTTTTTACAGATTCATTATCATGAGAAGCTGCTCGAGATTCAGCAATCATTTCATGTTTTGAATTACCATATTTTGCCATTAATCGAAGAACTTTCAATATTAATCTATACCACATAAATGTTCTACTTTCTTTAGTTAATTGTTGTAATGTATGTTGTCGTTCTGCAAGATGAAATACATTCATTGGGAAATCTTCATCTTTATCATATACACCAATATCATTACCAATTTTATTTAATAGTGGATATTTTGTTGTAAATATACCGGAGATTTTTGAATATGGTGCAGCCCATGCTTGAGCTTTTTTTTGATCACCACAAAATATGTATATGCCTTGTATAGATAATATTTCAGATATAAGTGGTACAACATGTTGACCAAATGTATTAGACACAATCAAAAATATTTGTTTTGTTGGCGGTTCGTCGGTTATATCATCAATACATTTATCTAAATCATCATATGTTAATAAATGACCTCTAGCTAGTTGTCGTAATAGTGCTTTTGTATTTCGACCATCTTGAGTCTTTTCAATGCTATTATCTAACCAAACGATAACGAAATCGTTTGTTAAATTGTAAATGTTTTCATTTGCCATGCTTTTGCGTGCATGTGATGACAAAAATAAAGTTCTTTTTGGTGGCTTTACATTTCTCGTTGATTATTCGTCTGCTGTTTTTCTCGTTCTTCCTATTTGCTTTCGTTTTTTTTTCTTCTAAAGGATACCATCTGAATAAATTATTTTTTTTTTGTAAGGACTGACTTCCATTTGAATAGAAATTTGTATGCGAGTATATGGACGATATTGTTGAATCAATAAAAGTAAATTCAAGATTTATATGAAACAGGCCTTCATTATACGCAATTGATTTTGTAAAAAAAAGAAAAAAAAAGTACTATTTGCTACATCTTTGAAATTAGGACAATCTTTGATGTTTTCGGAGTTTCAAACCGACATTTTTCGATCATGTGCCTTGTAATGTTTTTTAATTACATATGAAGTAGATCTAATTGTTGATTTTCAATAGGCTATTTTCTTAAACTGAATGAGCAGAAAGAGAACGCCAATATCGAACTATTTGTATCATTAATAGTACTGAATAAGATGAAAAGAAAATAGTAGTCGTGAAGAGGAAAATTGAACATTTGTCAATCTGATCTGTCAATAATGTTAGAAAATATTTTTAATAAAATCAAAATAACATTCAACTTTAGTAAAATACTGATTAATACTCTTTTTAGTATTAGCTAATATTTTTGATCACATTGTAATAAAATCAAAGAGAAATTCTTTATCGTTCGACTTCAAAATGAAAAATTATAATCAACCGAGACCAATATGAAAACATATACATAATAGAAACACGAATTTAACATTAAGTGAATTAAACATATTGACACAAGAATAGATTTATGACTTGGGTGTAATGAAAACAACCAGTTACATCATTGATGCCAAATAATATTAAAAAACGTTTAAAAAGACCGATATTGATTTTGAAAAAATTTAAGAAGAACTAAATGATCATGACGACGATGATTAGTAACGTTTATAGTGAATTTATGTAAATATCTTAAAATTGTTTTTAGTTGCCAGTTTTAGATTCAGAAAATTATTCTAATGAAGGCAACAATTCAATAAAGGTTTAAGGGCACTTTTCGAGAATACTTTTAATACAAACAAAAATACTAAGAAAATTCATCAATCATTTAGCGAACTTGAAGATGACTGAAAACTTACGAAAGGACATTTGTGTTAGCTACTCAAATTTTGAAAAAAATTCATGAGTCATCTTCAATAAAATATTTATATTTTTGGAACGTAAATCGTTCGAGATCATGACTTTGTATGGATTAATAGAGAAGGAATTTAGTTATCTGCCCATTATATTAAAGTTTTAAAACTTTCTTTTTTTTTAAAATTCAGTTATTTAAAGTTCTAAATAACTTATAATAATAGGATTTTAAAGCGATTAGAAATTTCAAAGATTTGTTGTGTCAAAAAATAATTTTGAATTATTACATACAATTATAAATATATTTGAAAATTCATTATTTTAAGCAATATTGATCAAATTGTTTTTTGCTTTATTTCACTATCTTTGTTTTGATAGAAAACTCAAAAATAAATAATGCATTTCTTTCTTATGAGTCTTTCAGGTAATCAAGAGTAAGATGAATCAAATTATTTTTATTCTTACTGTTTGTATATTAAGACATTATTAGATTTCATGAAAAATTCATGAATCCACGAGGAATCTAATTCATCGCACTTTGATTTTTCTATGTGAGTAAATCTTTTGCTAAACTATGCAGAGGAAGTAAAACATACGGAGTATATGAATACATATCTACTCAACGCTAGGTTTATTAGAGTTCTTTTTGTTGCTTTTACTGTCGGTATCCGTTTGTCATCCGTTAAATGAAGTAAAGATATGAATGTCATAATAGGTTCATAAGAAATAAAATAAAACTTGATGAATTCAATATCTCATAAATTCCTCTTAAATTTCCATGAATAAACGATCAAATAAACAAAGCCAAATGATAATTACCGAAACAGTTAATATTTGTATGAAAAATTTAATAATTATTAGATATCATATGTTTATTAGTATGAGATACTAAAATTATCATTTAACATTGAATATATATAAATAATAAATCTCATATTGAAACTGCCGTTTGCATTGGTACATGTTTTAGTTAGATATTCACATTTTATTCAAAGAGAAATATCTAAGCATTATCAAGTGTGATTTACAAAGAAAAGCATGATAAGGAATTTGACATTGTATTACTTTATATTCAGCTACTAGGATACATATCATTTAGTTTTAAATCTTTTATCTATTGAATTTTTCTTTTGCAAGAACTTTTAGTCTGATTGACTACTCGAACATGTATTAGTGATTTTGAAATATGTAGGAAGTATTAAATCATTTTTGTTTTGTTTGTTTCAATTATTGAATTGTATGTTAAAATCAACAAACGAGTAAGAAAAAAAACTTAGAAACAAATTCATGCAAAGAGAAAAAACTTTCATTAATAAATTTATGGTCAACGTAACTTTTTTTTTGTTTCAATTATATACTTTTCTAACTTTCCAATTCTATCAGTTTCTTCTCGTGGAAAATCTTCCATAATTTTTAATGCTAATTCAAATTGTTCTAAAGCAAATTTAAATTGTTTTTGTTTGTCATAAATACGACCAATATTCGTATGATAATCAACTAAATCCAAATGACCAGGAGGTAAGCTTGCGTTACCAATTTCCAATGCTTTTTGAAAATATTCAAGTGCTTTTACATCGTTGTCCAATTTTTCTTGAACATTACCTATTCCATTCATTGTTGATGCTATTGAAGCATGAACTGATGGTAATCGCAGCAGTTTATTCTTTAAAACTCTTTCAAGACTTTTTAAAGCATTTATATTATCACCATATTCTGTTTCAATTTTTGCTTTGAGACCTTCTATAGTAGCTATGAGTAATGGATCGTTTGCTTGTGAGCATTTGGACAGCTTCTCTTCGGCTTGTCTCTGTTGTTCTTCTGCATTTCGACTATCTCCTAATTCCAAATAAGCCAAACCAAGACTACAATGAGTAGCAATAACTTGAGAACTATTATGACAATTCAATTGAGAATAAATCTCAAGAGCTTTTTCATAATATTCAACAGATTCCTCTAATTTATGAGTAGCTTTATACATGAGACCAAGTAAATTGTAAGCATTTCCAATTGCTTTATCATTTGACGGAAGTTGTGTAAGCATATATTTTGAATAATGTTCAGCTTCATCAAATTTATTCATTCGAAAAAGAAACCAACCAAATGATAATGGATCTGGTTCTGGTCCAATTTGTTTCATCATGTGTTTCGAAAGATTTTGACTAACTTCGTTTTCTTCTTTACTTAGTTGTAAATGAATATGCCACATGTGTGCATGTTGCTCAACTGATTGAACTTTAAAAATAGCACCCATAGAGAAAAGTACTTCTTCTTCATCTGGACAAGCTGCATAGTTTTGTATAAATGCAAATGGTGTCGTTTCTTTACTCATATTATAAATATCAATGATAAAAAGAACAGATTGTAATGGTGATGGTTTATTCAATTGATCACTTGTATCAGCAAAAACTGTAGCTACTGTTTGATTCACTGTAGCACTTAAAAAGCTATTCATTGAAATTAGTTCATTTACATTACTTTTAAGTAGATCTAGTTCTTTCATGCCTAAACGTTGACCACGATAAACTGTTAAATGATGATGACCAATCATAGAAGAATGAGTATTTAAATATTGATGGTATAATTGTTCAATTTGATTATGAAGATCATTAATAAAAAATCGAAATTTAAATATAATTTCAGTATTTTGTGTACGTAAAGCTTTGTTTAATAATCGATATACAAAACTATCTTTTGTATACCACCAACATGCTCTCGTTGGATCATAATTTTTTTCAAAATCATTTATTTTCTTTTGTTCAATTTGGTTACTATAGTAGCTTGTTCGACACTCAGCAATCATTTCAGTTTTTGCATTACCATATTTTGCCATTAATCGAAGAACTATCAATATTAATTTATACCACATAAATGCTCTACTTTCTTTTGTTAATTGTTTTAATGTATTTTCTCGTTCTGCAAGATGAAATATACTCATTGGTAAATCTTCATCTTTATCACATAAATTAATATCATCACAAACTTTATGTGAAAGTGGTTGTTTTTTTGTAAATATACCAGAAATTTTTGTATATGATCCAGCCCATGTTTCTGCTACTTTTCGATTACCACAAAATATGTATATTGCTTGTATATTTGATAATTCATGTATAAGTGGTATAACATGCTGACCAAATGCATTAGAAACAATAAGAAATATTCGTTTTGTTGATTTGTCGGTTATGTCATCAATACATTTATCCGGGTCGCCAAAGGTTAATAAATTGCCTCTAACCAGTTGTCGTAATAGTGCTTTTGTATTTCGGCCATCTCTATTATTTTCAATGGTACTATCTAACCAGACGACAACGAAGTCGTTATTTACGTTGTTGATGTCTGCAGTGGTCATGTTTTTGCATATATGTGACTAAAAAAATAAAGTTACTTTGGTTGATTAGCTTTGTTGTCTATTATTCATTGTTCTTTTTTCTCTTTTCTTTCTTTCATACTTTCGTTCGTTTTCTTATAGACGAGACGACAATAAAGATAGCATTTTTGTCAAGACTGGTGGGTGTCGGTGTACGTGTACTATTCTCTTTCTTTTATGCAATCCTTTTTCACGGTTTATTTCAATGTTGAGAGGACTTTTTTTTAATATTCTTCTTCCGTTTAGTATATTTCAGTTTTGACGTATTTTCGTATATCACTAATAGATTTGTTTCTCTTATGTTCCTTGGATTTCTTATTATACTTAGAATGTTTAAAAAAAAATCTTGAAGAATATAATGAGTTTTATATAACAGCAATAAGAAGTATTGCTATATTAATATTGATGTCTCTGCATAGTGTATAGAATCTTCTATTTAGAAATACCATATGCTATGCTCTATCTAACATATTTGCGCGAAGGTAACAACACTTTTTCGATCACCATATGTTAACTGATGTAGTATTAGAAGCGTGACTCATATTTTGTTTACCAATAGGAAAATTGTCGTTGAATATCTTGTAGTATAGAGTATGCTACTGATTCGGTTTCTAGATGTAAACAACATAATGTTGAATTGGTGCTAGCAAGCGTAAGATTTATATGAAACAGACTTTAATTATCTATAATTGATTATGTAAAAAAAAAACAATATACTATGCATTTGAAATTAGAGCAGTCTTTTTACTTTACTGAGTTTCAATCCGACACTCTTCAATAGTTTTACTTCTAATATTATTAATCATATATGAAATAGATTACATTGTTGGTTTTTTTATTGGATGTTTTCTTAAAGTAAATTTAATCACACTTTTCATTTCGAAAACCTTCGATTTACTAAATAGATATTGTTTTTTTCATAACAAAAAGCGTCTATATCCAACTATTGAATCATTGGGAGTGTTGGATACAACAAAAAAATAATATAACTGAACCATAATATCAAAGAGTTTTAATGATTGATTTTAAAATCTCATATGTCGTTGATTTAAATATCTTTGACAGTGTTTTCAAAACTTACACCGGCGAAAACTGTTTCATTGGTATCAACAGAGACGGTATTCTAAAATCTATAAAATATTCCTATTAATAAGAACTAATATATTTTCTACCTAAATCGTATAGCTGAAATATTTCTCTTGACATGAAAACACAATAAAATTTATAATTAGGCATATTTGACACACAAATTCTAAATGAAAAGAGTATTATCTAAACTATGCATAGAGACTAATAACAATAATTATTATTTAAAAGACTGATAATTGTTTCCAATAAAACTAGTTTAGAATTCTATATACATAAAATAAAAAATGTATTTTCTCATAATTCATTTTAGGTCCAACGAAATATACAAACTAGACAGCAGCGACAGCATGTAAAAATAACCAAAAATCTGAGAGTTGAATCTGAAAATTTTATCACAAATACAGCTCGGCAGTTCCTCATCCTCATATGATGCGTTATATAAGTTTCCAGGAAACTCCTTTATTTTTTCCACTCGGATGAATTTCCGGAAATTGATTTCAGTTTCCGGAATAGACGTTTAGTTTCCCTTGAAGGTATCCATGGGCATAATGGGCATAATGGGCATAATGGGTATAATGGGCATAATGGGCATAATGGGCATAATGGGCATAATGGGCAT